CCTAAGTATTTATGTCCCTGACCAGGAATAAAGTATGTATTGTGGCAGTGCATGGCAATGCCATTGTGGTATCTCCATTCCTGTGTCCAGAATCTGAGTGGCCAGTGCATGCTGATGGCACAGGTGTGCACAGCCTTTAAATTAAAGGTGTTGGGAAGGGTTCAGAGACAGGAAGGCTCCACCCAGGAGTCAGAGTGGAGTCCAGTGCAGCAAGGTGCTGTGGATTGAGAAAACCCCGGTGTGCAGGTGAGCACACGACTGAGGCTGTCTGGAGGAACAGACAGTGGCCTAAGGCAGGAGCAGCGGTGCTGCAAATGTAAAGCCAGGAGGCTGGATAGGCAGGTGCTGCCATGAGATGCAAAATAACCCCTGCGAGGGTAATTGTTCTGTTTTGTGAACTTTCATTTAATAAAAGTGGGCAAGGAAGCCCTTGAATGAAGATTACAGCGAGTGGATGCGTCCTTTATGCACTACCATTGGAAGCTAAATCTCACAGTATATAAAAGGACTTAACATTGCATGACTTTCCTGATCTTCATACCTATGTGCATGCACATGTGTGACCTGCTTTGGATGCATAGACACAAATCCTTCAGCAGGCAGTGTGACTCAGGTACCCCTCTAAACAGTCAGCTAGAAGACTAAACTACAGTTAGGCAATTCATACTGGCCCAGGACCCACATCCTAGCTTGTGATTGGATATGAACGCAGCAGTAGCATTCTGATGTTTATCCCTTGCCCTTTCTTGTTTTGATCTTTGGTGATCTTTAACTGCTGGACTTCACCTTAAAAACTGATTCCAAAGCAATTATATTGGAGTCAGAATAGTGACTCCACTTTTGTGGAGTACAATACGCAATAGCTGTGCGTCCCCTTCCCATAACATTTTCAGCAGCTTCACAACATGGTGCAAAAAATGCTTTATTGCAGGAGATCAGACTTACCAGGCCAAGAACGCCATTTTCACTCTGAAGGTGAACTGCGATATCTTTCTTGATAAAGTTGCTGGCCAACATTGGAATACCAATTCCCAGGTTTGCTGTATGCAACTCAGGTTAAGGCTGAACACAGTATATAGCCATTATAATAAAACCGGTATTGCAGACGTTTTAGAATCAAGAAAGAAGAAGTTGTACATTTTTGGGTTCATTATTAAAAAAAACAAAAAAAAAAAAAATCACATGCTTTAATTTTTCAACAAAAGGACTTCTAGAGAAGTAGACTCCAGTAGAGGCAAATCAGCTTGTACAGATGTTCTCTTATGTACCAACCAAAATGACTGTATTCCTGCATTCTCTACCCTCCCTGTCCCCCTGGGTCACTGGAGCAGATCTCAAGGATAGAACACCCTATTTATGAGAGGTAGTGGTCAATGGACTAATTGTTCTCTGAAGCAAAATGCCCAGTTCTGAAGCAAAAACAAAAACACAGGCATTTGAACTCTGGGTCAGACTCCTCCTCCTCTCTGGACTTCTTTCAGATCCCTGCTGTGCACCTCTCTTGGTAGGTATTACACAAAGATCAGCAACAATATCCTATTTAAAGCCCAACTCTAGGTAAATTAAATGTTTTCCCTTGCAGTGGGGCTGCCTACGCGCTGCAAGGAATAAACTCAGGGGCAAGCAACCTTAGCACTCCAAATTCCATCACTTCTCTGCATCTGGGAGTCATGCCTGTGACTGTCAGTCTTGCAATGCCTCAGGGACTTTTAGTTTCACCACAGGTGGAGTGCCAAGGTTGCCTACCCCAGGTTAAATTCTCAATTATGCTTAGCAGACAGGTAAAAGCTGTTCTTACCCGACTCCAGCTCTCCCGGCAGTTGGCGCACTGATTCTCCCCCTTCGCTCTAGTTGTGGACTCTCCCTCGGCATCTTCGATACAGTGGAGGAGATATGGAGCTTGTATTGTACTTTACATTAGCACTCCTTAAACCACCGGACTGAAAAGCTTTTGGGACTGGTCTATAAGCTTTGAGAGAGCCACTGGGGATCAGGTAAGTAATGCTTTTTCATGCCCCCTAGCCATAAACAAGCAGTTAACCAAAGCAGGATGGGGGCAGACCAAATGCAAGGGAATTTTTTTTCAATTTCCCTGGAGTTGTGCTTTAAACAAATCTGAGATTAAATCCAGTCCAGACGATTCCATGAGTCATGAAGTCATGATTGAAAGGAGAGAAGGACGTGCAGTTATCATTTACAGTAAAAGTTGACACCTTTTTAAAATCTGCATTCAATCAAATTTTGTTAGTTCTGGCCTTTCTCCAGTTTGCCTTGTTCCTGGTCTCGGACCACAGGAGGCAAATCCATGCACAGTAATGTCTGTAACCTTGCAGTTCACAACAACCCTATGAGAAAAGCAGCAGGCAAATCTAAAGACTAAGCAACGCCCAAAACAAGGATTAGAAGTGTAGCACCCTGTAAGCAGGAGTGCCTAGTAAAGTTACTATTGTCATATTGTAAACAGTTTGATGCTGATTTGTAGTCTATGCTCATCTGGTTTCCCCTAATCAATCGGTCATCGTTTGCATCTGTCTGCTGCTGGGTGTACCCTGGCCACAGGGCAGAGCAACCAATGAGGTATGTAACTAGTATGCATGTCTCCCTAGCCAATTACTGGGAGGTTAATGGCCAGTGGTGCATGCTGGGAGAGGAGATAATACTTGGGTTGAACCATGTGAGCTCTCTTCCTCCCCCGGGACCTGCCTGGGGGGAGGCTGCTATGGACTGAATTGGCTAGGCCTAAAGTCTGGGCACTAGCCATGTGCTTGCATTGAGGCCTGAGTCTGGGGGCCCAGTAGCTACTATTGATACCAAGGATGAAGATGACAGGTGATTTCTAACTCAAGTACTCCTGTGCCAGGTGCTCTTCACACAGATTGCCATGTTTGGCTCAAAAAGGAGTCTACACCACCAATAAAAGGTTCCTTAGCAACATATCTACAGTCTGAACCTCGCTTTTATCGGGCAAAATAGAGTGTGGTAAGTGCTAAATGGGTAGTTTGAATCTGGACACCCCTAGGCATGGCAATGATGGATGGTTCTATTATTCTCTGTGGCCCCTTTGGCGGTGCACTACATTAAAAAAAAAACAAAACAAAAAACACGCAAACCACACAAAAAAGTGTTTGATGTAGTTTCAAAAATGAAAGGTCACTCTAAATTTCATTTTTCAGAGTTAAAAAGCTCTAACTGGCACCAAGATTTAACTATACTAAGCCTTTTTGAATAATATTGGATACCATACATTCCATCCTGGAACTCCAGAGCGGCACGCCGGATTATTTTCTCTCTTACAATATCAGAATCCTTTTTGGGTTTAGGTTTTGAGTTTTCAGATTTCCTTAGTGTTAGTCTCTGTAAAAGCAAAAACACATCACTGCCTACATGTTCCATCTGACAAAATATACATATACACACACATACTTTTTGCTTAGAATAGACCTTGGATCACCAATGACACCTCCTGGAGAAGTGTGCTCACTCCAGTTCCAAAGGTTCCCAAGCAATGCGCACATGCTTCATTTTTGACTTGCATTTGAAGATTTAAAACGTTCGCCACTACCAATTAACAGGCAGCTATGCCACCAGGTAGAGGGGAAACTAGATGTTGGTGTTCCTACCCTAAACTTTTTTTGGGGGTAGAAATGCCAACAAAGGCTGCATGAGGAGGACAGAAAGAACCTCTGTTAGGTTTTTATTACAGCGACTGAACTGGGGAGACTCATCCACTTTATTTGTCCTAGTGCCCACAGTCAATGGGACAGATGGGAAATCCAACGTTACAGTTTTCACTAGAACAGGAATAAAAATGCTTCTAATAGGGACATATGTTTTGGAGACTACAATCTCAGATGGGATTTCCTCTTGCTTTGGAGAGACTACTTCTCACTTCCTAGTTTGTTAATGGAACAGGCGTCGAGGGGAAATCCACACAGCGAAACAGACTGACAGAAAAAAAAAATTAAAAAAATAAAATAGGCGGTTTTTTTTGGTAGCCGTCCAGCTGTCCCATTGGGGAATTTTTCCTTCACTTCCTGTCCTGTGGACACATCCGGATGGGAGGGAAGACATCTCCATATGTAAGGGAAAATCTTAATGTTTGCCCCAATACACCCATTTCAGGACTTGCCACTATTCCTGTTCCAGTAACTACTCAAAATTTTTGATGTTCCCTCATTTGAAGACCCAGACACAATAGTCACTTGGACAAATAGGGTAAATTACCCAGAATGAGGAACAATGTAAACAAAGGTAACCATGTTTCCCCTGTTACAGGTTTCATTTTTTTTTTTTTCTTAAAACTTATTCACCCACCCATTAACTGCAGCGAGAAGAGGTTTGCATTGGGTCACAGAGGCATGAAAGTAGTTTAAGAGAGGGCTGATCACACATTGTACACCCAATGGCCAGCCCTGTAGCAAGACTTATTTAGGGTAAAAACAAGGAAATGGTTTGTTAACATTTCCCTGTGCAGAAAAGGCACAGGTAAAAAAATGCGACAAGTTCTAGTTTCACAGCAGTTGGGGAGATACAGGCCCATCAATTTTGCTGTCGAACTAGAAGACAAATATCAAGCTGAGCTTTCATCTAGTAGACTGACCATGTACTTGGTGTTTGATGGCACCTGAAAAATGATTGTAAAATGAAACTCGGGGGAACAGAGATCACAAGGCGAGCGAAATCCACTCTGCGGCAGCAGAAAAATAATGAGAAGGAATGAGCATCCTGTACAGTTCATAACATAAAAGGAGATTTAAGAATAATAAAGGACATTTCATTTTGAGGACCAATGGGTACTTCTGTGCATCGCCCGGTTTCACAGCTGAAGGTTTAATACAAGACAAATATTGAAGTACTAAAGTAAATTAGACAAGCATCATGCAATAGGTTCATAGGAATGTGAAACTACTGCTATAGCAATCTGTTGCTGAAGCACTTATTCCCACCATACCCGTGGCTATAATAGCATCCACTCTTGAGAAAACTTGCCTTTGGGAATTTGTACCCATTCAGCCAAAAAAAAAAAAGAAGTGTAATTGTGAGGTTAGGTACGGATGTTACAGAAGACGGTGCTGCAAATCATTCTGAAAATGTTCAAGAGGTTTAAAGTTAGGGCTCTACGCAGGTCACTTGAATTCTTCCACACTAAACTCAGACCATGTCTTTATGGAGCCGACTTTGTGCATATGTACACAGTCATGCTAAAGAGAAAATGTCCTCCTCTGAACTGCTGCAAAAAGGTTGGAAGCACCGATTTAAAATGTCTTTGTATGCCGTAGTATTAACAGTACACTTTATCTG